TATGACACATTTTCCTCTGTCTTTATGGAACATTTCCTCTTCCTTTTGATATGTTTTTGTCGTTTGACTGTTATTTTCGTTTATCCTTTTTCTCGCAATTGGATTTGATATCGTCACGACTGATCAAGATGACGCTCATTTATTATCATGTCGATCTTCTATGCTTTGAATTATCAAATTGGATTTGGATATACAATTGACATTTGTGGATAGTTTTCTGACTTGACTTGATTTTAATTTATGGTTTATCGGTAGTTTTTTAATAGTTTGATCTCCTTTTGTGGTTCGTTTACCGATACAATCAGATTTATTTGTATCTTCCTTTTATTCAAGTTTATTTGGTTAGATTTTTAATATTTTTCTTATATGGTTATTATATGATATTAAGTGACTAGTTTCTTGTGTTAATGATTATAGGAAAATGTTTTTATTATATGTTTTAGTTTACGATTGTGGTTGTAAACTTTTATTGTAATTTAAATATTTTTTATTTTTAATAAAATTAGCGTCTTCTATCTTATCAATTTTTTAAATAATTTTATATTTTATTTCTTTAAATATTTTACTAATTTTTTATATTTTATATTTTAAATATAAATATTTAATTATTTTTTATTTTTTAAAAAGATTTCAAACTTTTTTTAAAAATTAATTAGGTCCTCGGACATAACCTAAAAAAACCCAATTAAACCATCTACCAATTATCATCCACTGTGGATAGCCATATAAGCACTGCGTATTATCACGTCGGTGTCGTGAACTGCCATATAAACATCATAATCAATGCCTAATTTCGTTTGTCAAAACGCTATATTGATTTTTTAAAGTTTAAGGATAATATTGAATGCAAAATAAATTGAGCTGCTACATTGATATTTTGTAAAAATTTGAGGACTTGAGTTATTTTTAAGGCCAATACATTTTTAAAAAAGATAATAAAATTGAAACTGTAGTCCTCACGCGTGTACGTGCTCTTGTAAAACAATATGCAGTTCGATGGTATCTTAAAATTTGACATTTGGAGGTCGGATTGTAAAACAACTGGCAACGTGGAACAGCAAACCTTTCTCACCATTAGCTGTTGTATTTGTTCTTCGGCACTATCTACTAAGGATAAGCATAGGATCTGAACCCAATCCTATTGATCTACTTTTTTAAAAAAATATTTGATGTCGGATTGGGTCAAAGTTTTTTAAAAGTTATGTTTGGGGTTGGGTCGAATTTGAGTTTAAAATGAAAAATATAAGATTTGACTCGATTTAAAAAATAATAATTTTATCTTATATATTTAGAGATAATTACAATAATAACTCTCTATTTATTATTATTTTTAATTAAATATCTATTTTTATTGAATAAAAATAATTTTTTTATAAATGTATTATTTCGAGTCGGGTCGGATTCTATATTTATCTAAAAAAATACGGGTTAAACTCGAGTCAGGTGAAAGATATATATTTTTCAGTTCAAATTCAAATTGGGTAGAGAGTTTATAATTTTCGAATCGGATCAAATTAACCGAAAACCCAACCTAATATGACCCATGCTCATCCCTACTACCTACTTACATGTCTTTTACATACACCAGATTGCCCCATATTATTCGATTTTTCTAAAATTTATTTTCTCCCAAAATTTGTCCCTTAATCTATATTAATAAAAATGTTTTCCTTAGCTAAACTACATATTTAGTACCTAAGTTATTACTTTTGTTTTGTTTTGATGTCCAAATTTTATTTTTTTCAAAATCATACTTAACGTTTAGATTAGGTTTCATTTTGATATCCTGCCGTTAAAAACTTAACTGTCACCATAGGTAATGCCATGTCATCATCAAAAAAATAAAAAAAAATGCTACATCAACAATTTGCTAAATTTTTAATAACGGGTACCACAATGAAACCTAAACTAAACATTATGTATGATTTTGAAAAAAAATACAGTAAAAGTATCAAAACAGAATAAAAATAATAGTTTATGTACTAAACATGTGGTTTACCCTTTTCTAATTGGGGTGGTTACGGTTTAGAACACTCTCAACCATTTGACAATAAATGCTCAAGCACTCCCTAAATGTGGTACTCAAACTCATGATCTCTAGCGATAACAATCATCCATTTAACAACTGAGGTCTCTTAGTTCGTACTATAATAAAAATGTTAAATATTATATTATGGGTTAATCAAATATTATTTTAATTAATAAATTATATTTTAAATAATAATTAATATTGTTATAATATTTAGATAAAAATATATACCTAAATAATGACATTTTTATTTTAAGTAACTAATTTAAAATAAATATTTAAACTATTATTCTATTATTATTTTAACTCCAACCGTTAACTTTAATAAAAGAAAAATTCTTTTAACCAATAACAATTCGATTCTTCATGTTCTATAGTTTTCTCAATATTTTGATTTAAAATTGAAAAAAGGTTTAAGTCTAAATTTATGTAAAGTAAATAACAAAAACATCTGGATAAACTATCTATTTGGTATTTCATATAATTTTGATTATTTAATTATTTTTTTAACAAAATTATATTTAACATTACATTTTATTTTTATTTTGTTCACTTATTTTTTAACTTTCACTATTGACTTAATAAAGATATTGACGTAAAATAATTTTAACCCTCAATATTTATAATTTTTATAAATTTAATCATAATTTGAAAATAATACAAATATATATATATATATGCTTTTATTTTAACCCCAAAACTCTCTTATTATTCATATTCGTCTTCAACTTTTCTAAATAAAAATGAGAAGATTATGAACAAGATTATATATTAAGATTATTAACTCTCAACCCCCTTGAATTCTATGTTTGAGCAAGAAAAGCTATCTTTTATACAACATATTTATGGGTAAACTACGTATTTAGTACCTAAACTATAAATTTTGATCCATTTTAGTAGCAAAACCTTAATTTTTTTTCAAAACAATACCTAACGTTTAGTTTTTGTTTCGTGTTAGTACCTCGCCGTTAAAAACTTATCGAGTGATTTGCATGTGGCACTTTTTTATGGGTAAATTACATCATTCATCATTCAATTATATTCTCACTCCTACTTTGGTCACTAAAGTTTATTTTTTTAATTTAATTACTTAACTTTTAAATTACTACTAATTTAATCACTCTTAACTTTCAAATTTATTTTTTTAATTTTAAATATATATTAATAAAATAATAATAAAAAATATCATTTCATAGATTATTAATAAAATAATTACAGTGATTAAAATAAGAGCAATTTGAAAGTTGAGTAGTACATTTGAACATTTTTAAATTTTAGTAGAAAAATAGGAGTGAGAATATGGTTGAGTGATGAATAATGTAATTTACCCATAAAAATGCAATGCCGTTAAATTTTTAACGAGGCACTAAAATGAAACAAAAACTAAACGTTATGCATGATTTTGAAAATATTAAAAATTTAAGTAGTAAAACGAACCAAAATTTATAGTTTAAGTACTAATCACGTAACTTATACTACTTTTATTCACAAAAATTTGAAACAAGTAGGTGCTAGACATTGTAAATTGAAGATATAAACGAGTTTCAGTAGTTTTATATTTTTTTTGGGTAAACTGTGTGAATAGTTCATTTTATTTTCGGTCTAGTTGATTTTGATTACCGATTTAAAAATTAAGGGTACAGGTCCCAATGTTACTGTTCCGTACGATTTTAATTTATCAACCATTAATTCTCATTTTATTTTAGTTCCTCAACTATATCAAATATTCGTTAAAGGTTAACGGCAAAAAAACTTAAAACCAGACAAACCACTTATAATAGAGATCATTTATACTTAATTTTTAAATTGGTAACTAAAGTAAGACAGACCGTAGACAAAAGGAACTAATCGCATAATTTACCTTTTTTTTAATGACCTACTATTGATGACAGACTTCGACGCTTAGATCAGAGAATAAGAAGCAAACAATCCATTTCATCATGTGACTAACGTCATTTTTACAACTAACGAAAAATCAAAGTTAAACTAAAGCAAAACCAGAAAATTTATCGTTTAGGAATCTATCTTTGTTGTAAGAAACCAATAAAAAAATATTTTTTACAGATCTGCAGTAGAAAATGAAGTGAGCATTTGAGATAATTTCCTCAACAGTGAATATATTTTAGTATTTAATTAGATTTGCTTGAGGTTAAGTCAAAAAGGAACAATTGCTTCTTTTTCTCCTTTCTCATCTCTATTTCTCAATTCATTACTTTACATTTTGAAAAAAACGAATGGATGCAAGGGTGTTGTTTGCACTTTGGAGCTTAGTCGACAAATTATCATATCTTTTGGCTAAGGCTTGATATATCTCAAAATAATAATAATTATTGATGGTAATAAGTGAGTTTCATCAGCCATTAACGATTTATCCCTTCTGGTTTGAGTGGAGAGTCCCGATTAATGAAAGAACGATTATTGGCCAATGTTTTTCTTTGAGAGAGTTGAAAGAATAAGGGGAAGATGGTGGAAACTATATGGAGAAGATGGTGAAGACTGTAGATAGCCCCTTTCTCAATTGTGGCTAGAGGTATTTATAACGACTCTAGCTGGCTATTTCAAACATATAGTAATTATGACTACTACTTGTATGTCAACAAGCTAAATGATACGATAGGTTGGTATGATTTTGGAAGAAAAATAATTAGGTGATCAAAATAGAACCGCGAGAATACTTGGGTGACTAAATATGTAGTTTACCCTGTTTCAATTCATCACTGACTCACAGTAAATGCCTAACTTGTCTCCTAAGAAAAACCATAACAGTTTACGAAAGATCTCATCTTAAAGTCTCAGAAGTCAAATCCTTGTATCGAAACACCATAATAGTTTACGGAAGATCTCATCTTAAAGTCTCAGAAATCAAATCATTGTATCAAAACACCATAACAGTTTACGAACATCCCAGAAAAAAGGAATTTCCGGATGGAAGAGACCTTGAGTTGTTTAGCCTAATCTTAAAAGTAAACAGAAAAAAAGGGTATTCTCAACTTGTAGCAAACAGGCAGTTTTCTGTGATAAATAACACGATGTTCATTCACCTATAATCTCAGTTCAAGTCAAACTACAACATTTATATAATTAAGATTACAGTGATTAATGAGTAGCAGACAGCTTCATCTTCTTCGGGGGTGGGTTCCCTCCAGAGATCACAACATATGAATAGAAGAACATCATTGCAGCACTGCATCACACGGAAATTTATTCCCAAAAAAAGACTAAGTGGGACCAACTCAAGATGTATCTTTTTTTAAAAAAAAACACAAGCACTGGAAGTTTTTGGATTAATACCTTATAGCAGCATAAAATGCACTAGGAAATAGCTTCTTTGTCTGCATTCTCATATAGTTATAAAGTTAGAAACAAACGAAATCAGCCAGAGAGGGATAAGATGCACTAATGTGATGCATACCGATGAGTAAGTCTGAAAGTTCTTCCAGAAAAGGACCGCTGCTAGTGCTGTAAAGTTAGAACACACATACAATGAGGTAAATGCATTCTAAATAAGACTGAACATAGCAACACTTTTATGATTGTAAATGACTTGGAATGGATACGAATGTCGGTTAAGGTTTAGCACCTTGACCAATTTTAAATATTCAGCACACAGATTGACTGATGATCATAGGCTATGTACATCTTGCAACATTGAAACTATTTTCTAACGTATATATTGAATCTTTAATTTAATGAACTAGTAAATTTGGAAATCTTTTTCTTGAACCCAAATTCGGTATCCAAAATAGTTACAACTATGTCTTGTTGTCTCTTTGCTGCATGCCAAATTCTGCAATAAGAAGGCACTACAGCATTTCTCTAAGAATTATATACATGGTAACCAAATGTATATACATATGAACGAGCTGAATGGGAAGGACATGTACTCCTAGTATTCATCCAAAATATGTTATTATACAATTATCAGCCAATTAATCTCATGTATAACAAAACTCATAATCTCTTCAGGGGAGTATCTTCCAAATCACCGTCTCTAAATACAGCCACCAATGCAGAATGAATCTCACTTTTGCATTCAGTGATGCAGGAGCTACGTTATATTATTTTATTATTTCAGTTTTATCTATTAATTATAGACACAGATAGATGGATAAGTTATCTTTAGTGTTTAAATCTAGGGTTAGGGTTAAAAGTTTATTTGTAACCCTGGTATAAAGAAACTGTAAAATAGATTTACAATCAGCAGTATGATGTGTAATGAAACAAAAAACAGAAAGAACAGCTATAGCAGAGAGAATTGAAGATGCAGAAGGCAGAGTGAACAGCAGAGAAAGAGACAGAAGAACTCAACAAATTTTCATTTCAGTATTTCGATGTTGAAACCCCAACAATTTTGGGGTTTTAACCCAAAGTGTAAAACGGCAACATTTTAATAGAAACAAATAACTCCTAAACGAAATTGTTTACTTCATTACAAAATGAGCCTGTATCTCATTAATATTTGCAACCCTGGTGTTTAAATGATATGCTTGATTTTTTGGGTATCACAATATTAGGTTGAGAGGTGGAGATGAAGGTAAGATAACATTCAAGATTGCAGATTGTCTTTATGAGAGGTTAGTGATGCCTTTTGGCCTTTCTAACTCACCAAGCACATTGATGTGAGTCATAAATGAAGTACTTGAGCCCTTTTTGAATTTCCTTTATTGTTATTTACTTTAATGACATCTTATTTACAATAAGATCAAGGAAGGACAACTATCTCACATGCTACAAGTTTTGGAGGTGTAGAAAAAAAGGAGCTTTTTCTGAATTTGAATCTGTGCAGCAAATTGTGTGAAGTTGTGTTCTTGGGGTTGTCTCATGTGATGGCATAAAATCGGATTTGAAGAAGGTTCATTACATTAGAGAATGACCTACAACTTAAAAGTTTTAAGGACGTTCGAAGGTTTTATGGGTTGGCTTCATTTTATAGGAGGTATGAGCCCTACTACTGATTTTTTTTTTAAGATGGACAGCTTTGAATAGTCAAAATCAGCCAAATAGACCTTGAAATGGTTAAAATTTTGATGATGGAAGCACATGTTCTTGCACTACCAAAGTGGGAGGCTATTTTTCATGAATGTGATGCATCTCAAGTAGGAAATGACCAGCTGTTCTCAGCAAAGACCTGTAGACCATATTAGCAAGAAGCTACCAATCTAAGGTTTTATGTTTTGGTAATGGTTGTTTAGCAATCGTTTGTGGAAGAGATTACATGATGGGTCAACTAGACATACTCAAGGACTACCATGCCAACTGGAGTTCCAATTTAGAAATAAACTAAAATCGACTTACTTCAGCCCTATTATTTCCAAATTGGGGTCAACTAGACATGAACAATTGCCTTGTTGATTACATGAAGGGTATGTGTTTACAAGCAATCATTTGTGCTTTCCAAAAGGTCGCTATGGAAATTGCTTGGAGGGTACTTTGGAGGAGGTAAATCATGAAATAAGTGGCCAGTGTAAAAGGATAGAGATAGGTTGGTGAAAGGAGTCTTTGTTAATTTGCCAAGTGTAATTCACAAAATACAGGGCCGTACACTCCACTTTATGTCAAAGGAGCTTTGGACTCATTAAAGCATGAATTTTGTCTTGGGGTTACCAAATAAAACAGAGGGTCATGATTCAATCTTTGTTGTGGTGGATCATTTTTTGAAGATGACACATTTCATTTATTGTTCTAATAGTGCTCCACATTGTGAATTGTTTTTCAAGGAAGAGGAAAGGCCACATGGTGTTCCTACATCTATAGTTTATATGATAGGGATGTCAAATTTGTAGAACACTTAGTGGAAGAGGTTTAACTGAAATTTTCTAGCACTTTTCATCCAAAAAAATAAGGGCAAATAGTGTTTCTTAAGCAGAGTTTAGAAAACACGCTCAGGTGACTTGATGGGTATCATGTGAAGAGTTGGGATTTGGTTATTCCTCAAGCTAAGTTCGCATACAACAACTCCGTGAATAGAGATATTAAGAAGAAGCCTTTTAAGGCATATGGACTCAAACATCAACATGTGCTTGATTTAGTTCCTTTGCCACTTGGAACTAGGGTGAGTGATAATAGAAAAGCTTTTGCAAATCGTGTACAGAAAGTTCATCAAAAGGGGGTAACTGCCTTGGAAGCAAGCAATCATAAGATTGTTAATGCAGCTAATTACATCACCATATTAAGGAGTTTCAAAGGGAGACTTGATCCTCGTACATTTGAGGCCAAAAAATGTTTCCAAATCGAAGTTATCACAAGTTGAAACCAAAGAAGTTTAGGCAGTGTTTGGTGTTGAAGAAAATAGGCTCTAATGCATATGTGATTTAGCCATCAAATTTTAAATCAGTCCAGTTTCCAACATTTCTGATTTACATCCTTTTCAGATCAGGTGCAGCACATTACTAAGGGTAAAACAGAAGTTGCTGAAGATGTATTAGATGTTAAAGAAACTAGGTCAAGAAGGGGTAACCAGACAGTATAGGAGATTTTTGTGAAATGGTTTGGTAAACCAGCAAAAGGAAGTACTTGTTAGCTGGAGAGTATGATACAGAAATTTATGCTCACGTGGTAAAAATTTCTCACAGGTGTCGAGTTTTCCAGGCCAATTAGAAAGATGCATGATCTATTTTATATTATTTTATTATTTCAATTTTATTTATTAATTATTAGACATAGATGGCAAGGATTATAAGTACTTTTTCAATCTTTAATAAATACTTGATTGCAACCAAGCAAAGAGAAAACAGGATGGCTAAACAATTACTGCATATACCTTAATGTTGTATCTTGTATCTATAGTTACAAATTGTACATTCTAAAACTTTCTTGGAAACAGTCTATAATATCATGCTATATGTCAACATGTCACCAAATCCAAGTGCATACTTCTTGTATTGCAACATATACAAAATTTGGGCTAATAATATCATTTATCATTCACTTAACTGAGGATGTTTAGACCCTTTCTGCTTTCTAATCATAGTAATCTCATATTTTATGCGAACTGAAAAATGCGTTCTCACCTTATGTAAATAAAGATCTGATGGTCTTCAACCATAAAGCTAAAATGGTAATGTCAAATAGCAATTTATGCTCAAGTCTATACTGATCTGAAGATGCCTAGTAATACATGTCTATGTTATATGAACTCATGTATGAGTATCTAATGCAAATATGTACCATGTGTTAGACCCATCTTTGTTATAATATTTGAACTTCAACAAAACGTGTTCTACCAGTTGAACATAGATAAACTTTAGTTCAAGTGTATTCTATAACAAACAAATGCAACTTTTATTCATTAGATGTTTGGCTCTCTAACTATAATACTAATCAAATGGGAACTGTTGCATCCTTATCCATCAAGCTATAATGTTGTACTAAATGGCTTCTCATGTAGGTACTAAAGTTTTTCCTTTATAAAACAAATAAACCATAAATAAATAAATAAGAGTCCAAGGCAAACATTTCTTATAAGCAACAGATCTGGACTGTAAAATGTGAAACACAAAAAAGGCAATTTTTCCATAAATTGTTTTCAAAGAATGCCTCGATGCATAGAAAAGTTAAAATACCTGCTTGTCCAAGTATGAATGGGAAACTTGATTTTCCTTCCCTCCAAATTTTCAAGCTGAAGGTGCTAAGGGCTAGCACGGCACCTCCAAAGAGTAAAGTAGTAGGATTCCTCGAAAATATAAAACCAACAAGCCCCCCACTTAGAACAAGACCACCTATAATCGAGTAACACAAATTTTCAAAAGTGGATGTGAATGTGTTATTTTATTAATTCATAGAAGAACAAAAATTCTATTTAATGACAGCAAATATGTTGTAAATATCAAGCATCGAAAAAAATACACCAAAATTTGCAACCCAATTTGAGAAGCAGTTAACCTAAGGATTACAGAGTCTAAATAAATTGATATTGTAACGACCACAGATAATACATAAACCTGGACTGGTACAAAAGAAAAGGATAAATGTGAGAAAGCATTTCAAGTAAATAGATGATCAGCCAAGTAATTTTTTGAGCAATGCAACCCATATTCAGTAAACATTTCAACAATTATCACCAAAAGAGCATCAACTAAATCTTGTACAGCACGCTTACCATAAGGAATTCCAAAACAGAAATCATGGATTTTTGCGGCCCTTTTTGGTTGGATGATACCATTTTCCTCTCCTAGATTACTTGTATTTTCAGGAACATGCTCTTCTTCATTCGGATATGACTTAGTCACTTCTACTGGTTTTGATTCTCCAGCAACATAACTTGGTGTAGTTTTAAGTTGAGAGCTAGCAGTTTCAGCACCGTGCTCATCAACACTCATAACAACAAATGACTGGAAATTTGAAGCAGTCAGTATCTTTTTCAACACAATAACTAATTTCTTTGATGGTTACAAAGAAACGCCCATATTAAGATATTGAGAATAAAATATTAACACATAAAATACAATTGTTTTCTACATTTTTATGATTTAACATTTGAGCAGGAGGAATAATTTTTATTTAATTCCCTCAAACATTTTAATGTACTTGTTATCTAATAGCAAAGCATAAAAAAATAAAAAAGAATAAGCCCCCATTTAGCTGTTGCTTTTCCAATTTATTTTTTACTTCAAAAATTTTGCTAAAATGAGTAAATTAGATTTAATTACACTGAAGAAAATAGTTGAAATATAATATATCTTATTCTGCAAATACTTTTTTACATATAGAATCAGAACCTCAGAATACTTATATGAACAAAATTGTTCCATAAAACTAAACATTTTCACTACGCTCTGAGTATTTATTATTTGTTATTTTTCATACCACTCGAGTAATTGATTGCCCAAATGTAGGATAAAATAACTGTTATTCTAGTGGAGCGTATTGCAAGCAACACTTTAAGCCTTTAAAGTCAAGGAAAATTACTTAAACTCCAGCGAAATGGTTTTAAGGCTTCAAATATAAAGAAGATGAAATCTTTAAATTCAAGAAAAAAAAAACCCAAATAATATTACTTATTATAAGACAAATTGATGAGTAATAAGGATTAAACCCCTAAAAAATAAGAGAAAGGGATCAACATTTCAAGTTTTTTATTGTTTATTTTCAATATAAATATGAAAATGGAACATGTAAACAAAGCAATGATCAACATGTTAAGCAATTCAATATCACCCGTCCATTTCAAGTAAATTTATTTATCTGAAAAATATAATTACCTTTGAGCGAGTAAACGGAAGAAATATTGAACGATGGGAGAGCTGAAATCTCCGGTTGATTGAAGAGAAACAAGAAAGCTGAGAAATCGTCGGTGTCGCTGCTGCTGTTGACATTTTGATTGTGAAAATCACAATTAAAAAATAAAATAAAATTAGGGTTCCTTTTATATATATATATATATATATAGGAAACAAAATTTTCAGGATTTGAATTGAAGATAAATATTTGGAGAGGGAGGCAGCCAAAAGATTTGACTAAAAATAGATTCTAGAAAGACACGTAGGGCTGTTTGGTCAACGGAAAACTCAAAAAAAAAAAAGGAAACTTTGAATTATATTCTCGTGAACGAAGGAAAGAGAAGACTAGTAGCGTGAATGAGATGAAGCAGAAAAATGACAGCGTGCTTGAACCCAAATATTATGTTTTAGAGGCCCAAACCTAAACCCATGAATTTACATAAGGGGTTTGCAAAAATATCAGATCCAAATTGATAAAAAAAAATCGAATAGCTGAAATTTTTAATATTTAAAATAATGATTCGTATCTGATTTAAGAAAATTGAATATTCAAATTTTTTAATCTAATATTCAAATTTTCGGATCGAACATCTGAATACGAATATAAAATTTAATTTGATATAAAAATTAATTTTATATTTTATATTTTGTGACTAAATGTAACTTATTTGATATCTCTACTATATTTTATTTATACATTTAATTACACATACACAATAAATAATTAAATATCTTAATTTTGATTGGGCTAAAGCTTTAATTGGTTAGTGTGTTAGTCAGTCATTGGGCTAAATGCTGTCTAAAATCTAAAAGCCCAATTTTTTTATAGATTTTTGGATAATCATAAATTGAAAATTATCTTATCAGTATCTGAGCTGATTATCTAAATTTTTTCGGATATTGATCTGAATTATTAGAAAATCAAAAAACGGATCGAAAATCTGAATTTTCAAATCTGATTAATGGATCATATTGATTGAATCAGATCTTTTTGCACACTCTAATTGCAAGTGGCCGAGTATTTAATCGAATATATGTATATATTTATAATCATATTGTAATCACTCTAGACTCATAAAAAAAGAAATTTAATTTGATTTAATCAAGTTTTTTTAAATTTAAATGTAATTATTTATAATATTACTATACTTGATAAGATTTAATTTAAATATCTCTTGAATCATATACAATATACGTATATATTTCTACATATTCCTTTATATATGTGGTAGTAAGATTTGTAATAAAATATTATCTAAAATTAAATGCTATTTTTAAAAGAAGAGATTTTGAGAACATAGTATTGATGGGAGTATAAATGAGTAAATGAATTAATGGAAAAAATTGTCAAGAGTTACAATTAAGAGATTAAATTGAATAAAATACAAATTTGAGAGATTAAATAAAAAACCCGAAATTTATTATCAAAAAGAGGAATTAAAATATAAATGAGGAATTGAAGAAATAAGAAAAATCAAAGATCAAACTCTAAAAACAAATCAAATTACTTAGCTAAAGATTAAAATAATATCACTTTGATTTTCAATTGTACAATTATTCGAGTTTTACAAATTTAAACTCAAATTAAACTTAAAAGTCGATAAATTTTTTAAACTGATTTAAATAACTCGAATAATTTAAATAATTTTCTTGAATAATCTAAGATGATTATAATGTGATATGTGTTTAGAATTTTCTTAACCTATTGATAGTACACACACTACGCAGACGTAACTACTCGAACCTAAGACCTCATAGAATAATATTTCATTTTACCATTAAGATACGGGTTCAGCAACCCAAATAATTTAAATTTTAAAAAAAGTTACTTTTAAAATTTAATTGAATTTTACTTACCGCAAGGTTTCAAAGTAACAAGAGATTAGATGGGGTAGTTGCTTCTTTGGCTTATTTAATAACGATGCCTCTCCCTGCAGAGATAGTAACGTGGAGGGGTCATCCGACCATCATACTACGGCCAATGATTGCACTACAAGTAGGATTGAGATTGGGATTGAGGAAGTCAAAATGGCCCTTAGAAAGATGGGGAGGGACAAAGCTGTCGGTCCAGATCAAATTCATATCACTGTGTGGTTGACCCTAGGAGAAGAGGGAGTTAAGTGGTTGACCAACATCTTTAATATTATTTTAGAGACTGCCAAGATGCCAGAGGAGTGGAGAGAGTCTACGGTGATACCAATCTATAAGAATAAAGGAAATCCCCAACGTTGTGGTAACTACAGAGGTATTAAACTACTCAATCATACCATGAAGCTATGAGAAAGAGTGATAGAGGCTAGGTTGAGACATGTTACTAGGATTTCGGAAAACCAATTTGGCTTTATGCCAGGCAGGTCTACTATGGAGGCGATTCATCTACTTCGACGGCTTATGGAGAAATATAGGGAAAAAATAGAGATCTTCACATGACGTTCATTGACCTTGAGAAGGCGTATGATAGCGTACCCCGCGATACGATCTGGAAGACCTTGCAAACGAGACGGATCTCAACTGCTTATATCCGGGCGATTCATGATATATACTTTAGATCTACTACATACGTCAGGACCACAGTTGGCGACACCGAGGCATTCCCGGTGGAAATCAGACTTCACCAGGGGTCGGCTCTTAGCCCTTACATCTTCGCCTTGATTATGGATGACATCTATTGTGCGACACCAGACGGTGTTCCATGTGTATGCTTTTTGCTGACGACATTGTCCTAGTTGCTGAAACAAAAAATGAGCTAAATAGTAGACTTGCTACCTGGAAGACTGCTTTGGAAGAAAAATGTCTAAGGATCAATATTGAAAAGATAGAGTATTTATGTTCAAACTTCAGTGGGAACCAAAACGATGAAGATGTAGAAGTATGCATCGAAGGACACGTTCTCCCCTCAAAGGATTGTTTCAAGTACCTAAAGTCTATAATACACAAAGATGGGGGTGTAGATGATGACATTACACACCGTATAAAGGCGGGATGACTAAATGGAGGGCTGCTACTGGGGTTTTGTGTAAAGAAAGTGCCTCTAAAACTCAAGGAATTTTTTTTATAGAATGACAATAAGACCAGCGCTGCTGTATGGATCATAATGTTGGGCAATCAAGAAGGATCACGTAAGGAGGATGGAGGCCGCAGAAATGAGAATGCTTCGATAGGACTCTGTGGGACATGACACCAAACTCTGCTATTAGGATGTCCTTGGGGTGGTGCATGTATCCGAAAAATTGAGGAAGAGAAGACTACGGTGGTTTGGGCATGTCCTTAGGCGACAGCCGTCGGATGCGGTCAGGAGGGTAGAGTCGATTTCAGTCGACGGTGCCAGAAGGAGAGGACGACCAAGGAGGAAGTGGGTAGACTACTTGAGATCTGATTTGAAGGATTTATCCCTTACCGAGGACATGACATCTGATAGGAAAGTATGGAGGCTAAAAACAAGGTTAACCGAATAGTGTGGGTCAACAACCATAGGTTGTAGCATCTCTGTCTTCTTTTTAATTGCATTTGTAGTAATTTTCATGACCTCTACTTTTTATACGTTTTCTATCATTGGAATTTATGAACGTTTAGAACTAGAGTAGCAGAGTAGTGTTGCCTTAGTTTAGGTTTTAATCATTTTGACTTTATTCCTTCTCGTAGCTTGCTATCGCTGACTTCCGTGTATCATTCTCTTCATGTTTCATCTTTTTAAATCAATCCAGGACTTACGTTTTTGTCTTTATGCAGAGATTTTTAGATAGGTTTTTATTTGCAGGGATTACTTCCCATTACAGACGCTCATATGAATACTGCATATGAAGACTGTTCAACTATGTATTTATTTATTTATACATGCATTGTATTTTATCTGTATTTTTAATTTTTTGAATTGCCGGAGATCTTCCACGGAAGCTGCTCTTAACCTGGTGTTGGGGCAACCTTCTAACCTACCTCCCCCTTCCCCATTGCATATGAGAATAGGATTTTGTTGTTGTGTAAGTTTCAAAGTAACACGTAAATGGAAACATTGTATTATATATTTAATTACTCGTAATTCACGACCGGAGGTAATTCGCACAAGGCAGATCTGTTACTCTTATTTTCAAGTTAATATCTGGATCAATAAATTATTAAAATGAGAAGAGAACTGATTGGATATCGATGAATATCCAAATCCGAATTGCCCTACTGTGGCAAGTGAAACTATGTTCACAACTTCTCGATTCATGGGTATTTTATTTTTCTGTTTATTAAGGTGTAAAATTAATATCCAAGAATGAATCCAAAATTTAATTAATATCCTATTCAAGTGGAGCTCAAACTCAACTTGGATAGTTTACAGCCCTACGTGCCATGTTCCATCACCTAAAATGCTCTATGCTACTTTGACTCACATATCTTAAAAGAGTACCCATATGCATATTAGAACATGTATATAATCATAAGAACTTCCAGCGGCCTTTAAAATTTAAATCAAACATGATTGTCTCAATCATATATGCTTTTCTAACTCACCCGAGTCTGAGTCTAACATAGAAGAAGATGCTTATATAAAGAGCAGAGTATTATCATCAATAAATATGGGACTGGAAGAAAATACCAAGAAGTCACTTGGGTACAGCAGAGTTGAGATTATCACAGAATGGTCCTTTAGCTCACTCCTTTTCTTTGGATTTGCACTAAACCTCAAGTTTGGACTAAGCATGCATCTATTCAACCAAGAAAATTAAATAAAAAGGAAAAAGCAGCAACAAGAAACATTTTCACCTAGGGCTGCTACTATTCTTCTGCTTGGCTTTCTCGATAAGCGGTTTCAATTGCTTCTTTTCAGCCAGAATTTTAAGGAAATTGAACAAGAAGGGTATGTAGTTGTGTTTCCTTCGAATATTTTCGGTTCTCCACTTCTTGAATTTCTCCTCCTCAATCAAAATTTTCTCAGTGGCACCCTCAATCCCTGAATTCACTTCTGAAAGTTGTTTGTTTAGTGCTTCGAAGCTGGCTTTGTCTGTAGGTCTTTCGGACTGTATGGTAGCCAGCTGCTGCAAGATGCGTTCCCTCTTCTTTTGGAGCTCCTTAAGTTCAGCAGTGTACATCTCCTTCCTGTTCTTGATAACTGCCATGAGATTGAATCTGATTTCACTTTGGGAATATCTCTCTATTCTTTCTTGGATCACTGGTTGTACCAACTTTAACCATTCCATGTCTCCTGGGCCAGTAGGGCACTGACCAAG